AGTTGTAAGCCGCCCTGAGTCCCCCCAGGGAAAAGGGCAGCATATAAATAAATTACTCTAAACTCTAAACTCTCTAAGAAGAGGAGGAGGAGGATGGTCAGAGCCATGGGTTTCTAAGGCTAGTTGCTGAGTGGACCTGGGGTGGGGGCATCTACATCAGGGAGCAGGGACCACCCAAGATCCTAAGAACCGAGACCACCTGGGAAGAAGCCCAGTCCGACGGAGACCCCCACTTGCCCCCAGGGGCCTCCTCCCTCCAGCAGATCTCCTGCCTGCTCACCGCCATCTTGCGCCCCTGCATCAGAGTGACGCGGAAGCCCAGCACCTCCACGTAGACTTCGCGCAGGAAGGAGAAGCGGTGGAAGATGGATCGGCGGTGGTTCCGGCCGTCCACCGAGAGGCCTTCCAGCCCATCAGGGACGCGCCCCATCGTCCGGGTCAAGGTGTAGGTGGACCGGCCTTGGAAGTGGTGGACAAAGTTGTCGAAGGTGCGGTAGTGGGGGTCCCCCGAGATCACGCACTGGTGGAAGCCTGACGGAGAAAAGAAGAGGTTGCAAAACCGCGGAGGGGGGAGGTGGCAGAGGAACATGGAGACCTCCCCCCACCCGCCTTCATAATCCTGGGCACCCCGCGGAGTCGCGGACTCACTGATGGGCCGACAGTAGTGAAGGCCCTGATTGCTGGTGGTGCACTGGGACTCTGTCGGGCAGCCGAAAGTCTGGCACTCAATTTGCCCGCTCAGGCACTTGCAGCGTTGCTGGCAGCCGCTCGTCACCCAGGTGTCCCCGGACTGCAAAGGAAGAGCAGCAGGTGAGGCTCCAGCAGTGGTGGGTTCCGGGCGGTACGGCCGTACCGGGAGTAGCCGGGAGAAGTGGCCACCGTACTGGGGTCCGAAACCCATCACTGGGCTCCAGGATCTCCCTGACTGACTGGATGCCCTCACCCGCCGGCTGATTTCGGAAGGCCGGGTTGCCTCAGCCTCGTGGGCATCCGGATGGAAGACCACCAGGCGATCTCCACTTGACAGACCCACAAAGATCCTGGGAGGACGGCAGCCAGGAGGTTTTTCCGGCGGCTCGAATCGTGGGCGTCGAAAGGTGACTGGTCCCTGGGACTTCGGAGTGTCACTGCCCACAGGAGGCCCAGCACAGCCCTCCCCCCTTCCCCACTTACGTTGTGGTATTCCTGCTGGGGGTCCCGGCACCCGCACTCCCGCATCGGGACGCAGGCGAGGTCGCTGAGCACGTAGCCTCGGTCGCAGGTGCAGCCCTCCACGCAGGGTGTGGGGTACTGGCAGCTGGCAGGCGCATAGAGGTTGGAGCAGGTGGCCGGGCAGGGAGAGGCGCATTCGGAGAAGTGGCTGTGCGGAGGGCAGGGAAGAGCTGCGCCCGGAAGAGAGAGAAGCCGCCGTCACTTTTGGGAAACAGGAAGCGATTCCTCCCCTCCCCACAGAGGAGGTTTTTCTAGTGAATCCTGTGCTGGTCGGGGGAGGCTTTTACGCTGATCTAACGGCACCAATCAAAGTGGTCCTCAGTTTATGACGCAACTGAGCCCCACTTGACCCTAGAGCTGCCGAGCGTCCAGGGGTTGGTCNGAGAGAGAGAGAGAGAGAGCCAACTCAGGGGCTTTTGCCTCTAGAAGGAAGGGGGTCTCGTGTTTGAAGTCCCCACAGACCTCCCTGGGGGGGGTGTGTCCATACGAGTGGACGTAAATCAAGGACCACCTGCCTTGTGGACTGGCTCGTTTGGAGAGGCAGCGGGCAGAGCAGGGAAGACGGCACGATTCCCCACCCCCTCCGTTTACGCCGGGCCCTTGGCCCAGGGCTACTCACAACAGCCCATCTTCTCCCGCCAGGGCCCCAGGTCCACCTCCTGCTCCCGGCACAGCTGGGCATAGGCCTCCAGGGCCTGGCACAGCAGCTCCGTGTCGTTAAACAAGGCGCACAGGTCGTAGACGCAGCTCCTGCCGGTCGGAGGGGGGAAGCCGTTAGACACAGCCATGTGTGTGTGTGTGGGGGGGGGTGTTCCTTTGGCCTCGCCCCGGGAGCCCCTCCCCTGCCTCGCACACTCACTCGTGGAAAGGGCCAGGGGACACCCGGGCGTGGCAGGCCGAGAAGGGGCCGCTGGGGTCCGACAAGGCCCCGCAGGCTCTGGTCCCGTTGACGAAGGCCAGCTGGTCTGGGGTACAGTCCATCTCGAACCCCGATTCGGGCTCTTCCTCTTCCGGTTCCTGACGCCTGTCGGGGACAAAAGGGGGGCCGCTCAGGATTCGCACCTGGGGCCGGCAGGCCACGCCGGAGCAACTAAACCCCCCGGGGGAAGATCAAGCAAGCAAGCAAGTTGGGAGGGACCTTAGAGGTCTTCTAGTCTAACCCCCTGCGCATGGAGGAGACTGCTGGTATATATACAAAAGTGTCTGTCCAGTCTCTTCTTGAAACCGCCCCCCCCCAGGGATGAAGTCCCTACAACTTCTAGTGGCAAGGAGTTCCCCTGGTTAATTGTCCTCCCTGTTAGGAAGTTTCTCCTTAGTTCCAAGTTGCTTCTCTCCCTGATTCGTTTCCATCTGTTGCTTCTTGTCCTGCCTTCAGTCCATCCATCCATCCATCCATTCATCCATCCATCCAAATAAAGCTGGAGGAGACCCTGGAGGTCATCTAGTCCAGCCCCCTTGCTTTTCTCTTTCCCTCCGTTGCTTCTTGTCCTGCCTTCCTCAATTGATCGATTGATTGATTGATCCTTGCTTGATTCCCCCTGGGGGCCCAGCGCCTCCCTCCCTCCCTCCCTCCCTCTTTTTCCTTCCTTTCTTCCACCCCTCGTGCCCCCCCCCCGGCTGACCTGGCTCTGGCCCGGCCGAGGGTCCAGCTGCCTCCGTCCAGCTCCTTGCTCTTGACTGAAACCTGCCAGCTGTTGCCAAAGGCGTTGAGCGTCCGGGCCCGCGTCCCGTCTGGCTTGATGTACTCATTGTTGCGACGGCCGTCGTAATTCCCGCAGAGGCCGCCAACCCGCTCCTTGTAGGTGCTGGGCAGGACAATCTCTGGGGACCCAGAGAGAAAGAGGGACGCTCACACCAACCCCGCACCAGCCTCACCCCTAGTCCTCGACTTACAACAATCCACTTAGTGACCGTTTCAAGGTACAACGGCAGTGAAAAAAAGAGACTTACGACCACTTTCTGCACTCAGTGGCCGTTGCAGCGTCTCCGTGGTCGCTTGGCCACTGACTCGCCTTTACGACGGTTGCAGTGACACCCCCCCCTTTCTGACCTTCACAACAAACACCCAGCCCTGCTCTTGAACCATGCCTGCCCCCCCCCACAACGTTCCCCCTTGCCAGAAGCTGTCCTCCAAGGACAGAGGCCGAGGTCCAGTTAGCCTCCAGCTGGCGTGGGAGACGCTCCTATCCCGCCCGTCCCTTCTTTTCCTTCCCCCCCCCGGACAACACTGACCGGCAGAATTGTGGCCGTCGTAAGAGACCGAGAAACCGAAATTGGTCTCCACAATCAGCCTGCGGCCCCTCTGGGTGATCTGGAGCCCCTCCGTGGGGGAGTAAGGAGGAGTGACCCTCACGCCGTTGACCTGGAAGAAAGGGGGTATCCGTCACTGGGGGTGGCAGCCGGAGGCAGGAGTTGGGGGGCGAAGGGGAAAGGACCCTCAAAGCAACTCCTCTGGCGGGCTGTTCACATGGAGAAGAAAAGGGGGAGCAGAGAAAAGAAGGAAGAGGAGAAAGTACTGCAATGTGCTCTACATGGGGCTGCCCTTGAAGAGTATCCGGCGACTCCAGCTAGTCCAGAATGCGGCCGCGCGAGCGATTGTGGGTGCACCTCGCTTCACCCACATAACACCTATCCTCCCGAGCTGCGCTGGCTTCCGGTCAATCTCCGGGTACGCTTCAAGGTGCTACTTACCACCTTCAAAGCCCTTCATGGTAGTGGAT